TTGTATGTTTGATTGGATCTGAGAAATAAACCTAGATCCCAAAGGAGATGTTCTTTCCACCACAAATTGGAAACAGTTGCCTTCGACTAAGTCAGGAGTTCTTATTTTTGAGCATCAAAACGAGCCTTTGGGCTTACGGCAGTAGTGTATGACAATGACTTTTCCCAAACTAAATATTTTCCAGATTGTCTTCCTTCCTTGACTCCAAAATACTATTTAACGCAAGCTGTGGAGAAGTTTTTGTTATTAAAGTCCAGAAATCTGCACTGTGGCAATGACAAATCAGTTCTTAAATCAGTTTTGATTTTGTGACTGGCATCTCAGCCAGAAAGAACATTTTGAAGTTGAAGAGGTGGTGCCAGATCACATCTGCAACTTGTGGGCAAGGACTGTCTGGGTTGCCCCATACCCCTTCAGTGCACCTGGCCATGCTGTCTTCTCAGCCCCTTGAGTCTGAGCATGGTGGGATATTTTAGAGTTAGTTAGAAGCTGGTAGATCCAGATGCTGATGGAAAAAATCAGAATTTTGATACATAAAAACCATTTCATCTCCTTTAACTTTGTTTTCATCAGAGACTGATTTTTGCACGGTCTCTGTGAGTACTGGTTTGTGGTAATCTTCTACCTGGGACCTGCACCTTGTCTTAAGGGAGGAAGGAGAGGAGGGGACAAGAGGGAGAAAAGCTGGAGCGAATGTTCCAGATTGCTTACCTGGAAGTGTTTTTTATCTCATGAATAAATGGAATGAAATTAGATCTCATTTAGAAAGAGCCCTTCATAATAAAAGAAGTGCAAAAAATATACACATACCGTCTTTCACCTCTCTGATTGGCAAATATCCAAAATTTTGACAACATAGTACTAACAAGGATATGGAAATCCCAGCATTCTCAAACATGGCAGGTGGGAATGTAAATTACTACTATGGACAGCAGTTTAGCAATATGATCAGTTTGTAGGAAAATTACAAATTACCTTTTGTGCTAGAGCTTTTCTAATTCTGGAATTTATTGTTTATTATACGGAAATGGTATCTATGCAAATTTATTTATTGCTGTGTTCTTGGTAATAGCAAAAGATCAAAAATAAACAAACCAGTGGCTGTTGAGTCGATTCTGACTCATTGCGACCCCATGTGTGTCAGAGTAGAACTGTGCTCCATAGGGCTTTCATGGCTGTGACCTTTTGGAAGTAGATCACAAGACCTTTCTTCCGAGGTGCCTCCGAGTGGGTTTAAACCTCAAATCTTTCTGTTAGTAGTTGAGCACTTAACCATTGCGCCATCCAGGGGCTTCTTGCTCATCATTAAAACTCAACAACCCAGAATCAAGTTGATTCTGACTCATAGCGACTCTATAGGACAGAGTAGAACTGTTCCATAGGATTTCCAAAGCTGTAATCTTTACACAAGCTGACTGCCACATCTTTCTCCCGTGGAGCAGCTGGTGGGTTTGAACCGCCGACCTTTAGGTTAGCAGCCGAATGCTAGAGTTAATGAAACTATGGTATATTTACTTAATGAAAAATTATGCAGCCATAAAAATGGAGGAAATCCTTAATGTCCTGATAAGTTCCTCAAGGTATATTCTTGCGTAGTAATTAAAACAGCAAAAGTTAGAATGGTGAGTATTGTATGCTAGCATTTATGTAAAAAGAGAGGGAAACAGTATACATACACTTTAGCTTGTATTTGCCCAAAATATCTCCAGGAGGAACCACAAGTAACTAATAGCATTTGCTGTGTGTGCAGGAGAGAAGGTAGCGGCTGGCTGACAGGAACGAAGGAGGCCTTTCATTGCACACCCTCTTATTCTTTCTGAAATTTGAACCTTGGCAGTGTATTTAAAGAGCTCTTACAAATGGAACAGTGCCTTAAAGGATGAGGGAAAGTAATTTTTAACCAAACTATCAAACAAGCATGAGGCCAAAATAAGGACATATTTGGGCACCCTGTGTGAAGCAAAATTACTCCACAAGGTACTCAAGCCATATTAAAAAAAAAAAGAATTAAAAGGAAGAGAATGATATGAGGTGAAAGAAGCAGTAGTGGCTTAATATGATGTACAAGAGGTCAAGACCGCTTTAAAGATGTAAACAGAGATCCTATTGAACATCGATGTTGAAAGGTTATCTTGGATACCAGAGGATTATTGACAAGGAATTACATTTTCTTGTCACGGTTACAATCACAATACTTGGTTCTGAAACAAATAGTTTCATAATATTAATGTTGTAAATGACATTTTGTGGGGTTAAAATATGTAGGATCAATTTATAAAGAAAATAAGTAAGGCAATTATAAGTACAGAACAGAATGAAAATGTTAGGTACTTGGCAGTGTGCAATAATGATACAACAACAGAACTGGGGAGGCAGGGGAGTTGGGAGACATGCTCCTAAATTCTTCATCTTTCATAACATGGAGTCAACAGATGACTTTAAAGTTCATAAAGCAAGAAAAAGCAGTGACACTCTATTATTTAAAGTTGTATTGCTTGCTTGAAGAAAACGTCAGAAACCATGCTTATTACTAGAAAGTGAGTCTATGGGCATAGGGGCTATAAAGAGATTCCTTTTTTAATCTCAGATTTCTTTACAGTTGGAATTTTTCTACCATATACACCTACTCCTCACTTATTGACTATCTCATTATCCAACATTTTACATTTACGACAATAGTAAAAAATCTGCTATCTGACTATTTTGCACATTAATGACGTATGTCTGGTGGTAACAAACAACGAGGTGCAAGGCAAGATAATGCTGGCTGTGATGGTTAAGGTTATGTGTCACCTTGGCTGGGCTATGATTCTCAGTGGTTTCGCAGTTATACGTTATGTAATTTGACATTTATGTAATGATGTAGTCATCTTCCATTTTGTGATCTGATGTGATCATTTTCACGTAACACCAATTTTCTCATAACAACCTGGTCTTTGGAATTTAACCATGTCAATAAGTGAGGAATGGGTGTATATGTTGGTACAACTTAATAATAGCAACTTTAATAACACCCCTCATATATATGCATAAATGTGTGTGTAGGTATATATAAAATATATTTACATATATGTGTGTGTATATATATATTATATGCGTATATATCTATATCCCTGTGGCACAGTGGTTAAGCACTTGGCTCTTAACAGTCAGCAGTTTGAACCCACCAGCTGCTCTGCAGGAGAAAAGACCTGGCAATCGCCTCCTGTAAAGATTATAGCCTAGGAAACCCTATGGGGCAGTTCTACTCTGTCCTATAGGATCGCAAGAGTTGGAATTGGCTCAACAGCAATGGTTTGGTTTGGGGTATACATACACACATATATATTAGGTGTGTGTGTGTATATATATATATATATATATATAATTATA